ATCCACAGTCAACCATCCACACGTGACCTTTTGCCATGTAAATCATAACGTGCCAATCATACCAAGGTTAAAATCCCTTCTTGGCCCATGAGACCCTAAATGATAATCTAGTCCCTGGCTACTTCTGAAGCCCTATTTCCACGAGGTCTCCCATCTGATTCATGCACTTTCACAACAATGACCTTCTTGCCAATTATTGTGGTTTTTGTTAATTTGTTTTTCTATTTGCAGACCATGTTGCAATACCTGGGCTCTTGCACTTGTGTTTTCTTTCCCTAGAACGCACTTCTTCAAGGTATTTGTCTCTCTCTCTCTCTTCTCTTTCTCCTATTTCATAAAATCTGACTTCTCTGATCATTTCCATCATTCTCTAACCCCTTATTCTGCATTAGCTTTTCTTGCTAGCACTTATCACTAATTGACAGAATATATATGTGTTTAGTATCTCTTACATTAGAATGTAAGCTCCATGAAGGCAAAGGTATTGTGTGTTCCCACAGTCCCAATACCAGGAATACTGACAGAAACACAGAAGAGTTCAAAAGTGTATGTTGGATTCATTAATTAATGGATGAAAACTAAAATGAGTCAAAATTATTTAGAAACTAAAATTCTAAGTCATGTTTCAGCTCCTAGATTTTAATATTATTTACTTATTATCATTTCCCCCTTCTTCTGAAATACTTTCTCTTTTGAAATGCTGCCCCTTTGCCAATTGCATGTAAACTCAGTAAAACTGCCTGTCAAAGTGTACTTCTCCCTCAGCATTTATTTAAGAGTGGGTACAAAAATAAACAACAATCTGACTCCCTATCCCTGAAATTAAGCTGTGAGCCTAGTGACTCCCAAATGCAAGTAGTTATAGCTGATTGATTCCAGTGTTGTACCTTGAAGAGACTTCCAGAGTTGCCTTAGAGTTCGTATCATCTCCAGCATCTTATTGTTGTTCTTCCATTCTGAGAGCTACCTGATGTTCTTCCATCAATGCCCGCTTCCCTTTTTGTTTGGTGTGATTGTTTTAATGAACCAGAGTCAGTTTCTTTTGCTTATGATCCAAAATCCTAATGAATACGCATGATAAACTTATATTCAATCTGATATGCCTTAAAATACAAAATTTTTAAAAGGGGCCTCCCAACTCTCTTTTTCTCACTCTGTCTCCTCTCTCCCTCTGACTGTCTGTTCAACAATCCTCTGGTTGCTCAAATCTCTCCTTTATGGTGGCACCACCATCGTGACTTTAATGTTTCAAAATTATTATTTTTCCCATCTATCAGTATTTACTCAGAGCTGCTGACATGAAGTGGAAGTTAAGATGTAATTAACATGATTAAGCTATACCACACTGAGTTATTAATAATTAATAGTATCTTAATCTCATCAGACATATTTGCATTTTTTTTTTTTTTTTTTTTTTTTTAGATGGAGTCTTGCTCTGTCACCAGGCTGGAGTGCAGTGGCCTGATCTTGGCTCACCTTCCAGGTTCAAGCAATTCTCTTGCCTCAGCCTCCCAAGTAGCTGGGACTACAGGCACATGCCACCACACCCAGCTAATTTTTGTATTTTTAATAGAGATGGAGTTTCACCAGGTTGACCAGGATGGTCTCCATCTCTTGACCTCATTATTCACCCGCCTTGGCCTCCCAAAGTGCTGGGATTACAGGTGTAAGCCACTGCACCCAGCCTGCATTTATTTAAAAAGCTACTGTGAGTCAAATTTTTTTTTTTTAAATTTTAGTCAGGATGACAAAGTGAAAAGTTTTAAAGTATAAAAGGTAACATTTTCAAAATTTCATTAGATAACATCACTTAAGCAGCCCATCAATCTGATCATGGTTGAATTAGTCAGAGATAAACAAAAGGCTACAGACCTGACAACTTATCCATCAATAAACAGATTTTAATTGAATTACTTTAGTGTTGTGTTTATAAAGCATACAACCTCATTGCGAATGTGATTAACAGAGTCACAAATAGATTGATGATGTTACTAAATGTGACTAAGGGAACACCAATCCCGTTTCCTTAAATGTTGGGGGTGGGGGCAGAATCTGTGATTTGGGAATACTACAAAAGTGATGGGATATATAGGCCCTTGATTAGCTTATATCATACTTCACCTAGGCAGAATAACAGAGAGAAAAACAGACTCTCCCTTGCTAGCTTTGAAAATTTAAGCTTTTGTGTTGTGAGACAGCTTGAGACAGTGCCACGTGGCAAGGATCTAGGGAGTATCTAGTACAAAGAGGGGCCCCTGCTGAATGTCATCATGAAAGTGGGAATGTCAGTCCTACAACCACAAGGAGCTGAATCCTGCCAACAACCATTTGAGCTTGGAAGAGGATTCCATGCTGCAGAAATGGTCACAGCCCAGTGGACACTCTGATGAAGATTTGTGAGACACTGAGCAGAGGACCAGCTAAACCTCACCCTGAGAGATAATAAATGTATGTTTTTGTAAGCCACTAAGTTTATGTTAATTAATTACAGAACAATAAGAAGCTAATACATTAGTGTCCCAAGGAGAAGAGGAGAGAAAAGGCATGTACTACAGAATATAAATTGTGGATTTAGTGCATACATTGCCCTTTTACTTACTATTAATAGCTTGTCATAGCTACTTCAAAGCATCGATGTGAGGATTAAATCAGAAATGTTATATATAGAGCTTAAGGCTTTGTGTTAATATTAAACATCTCATAAAAGTGAGTTTCTTTCTCATTTACTCTCCTATGGTAATTTGGTGGCTGTCACGGCAGTGAGTTTTGCCATGTCAAAGTCCTGGCTGCCCAATTCTGAGCCACTGAAAATGGGGACGTATATACTTCAGGACCTTCTCTACTCATCCATTTTCTCACACATAAGTGAGGAAGTGGGTTTTGGAAACTGACACTGATACAACATCTATTGTCGTAGGTATTTGGAAATAGGCCATTAAATAGCATCCATGGAGGTCCACAAAAGAATGCAGCAAAGTAACTTGTCTATTCTTCACTGTACTTGGATAGCCTTCTACCATGGTTCCTGCTTTTCGCAGTAGTCCACTGTTAAGAAGGTACTAGGCTTCTTACCCATTTGCAGTTTCCATTCTGACATTGACCTGGATTTACCTCCCAGTATTTTGACATTGCAGTGCAGAATCATAGCTGCTTGGAAATCCCTGTTACTGACCTCCTGCATCTCAGATCAGAAACTTTGTTATCTGGAAACTGCTATCTCATTATAGTAAAAAAGATAGGAATCACCATTGCCATTAAAACTCTTACAGTCCAGCACAATCTGAAATCAGCAGAGCGATTCATGGGTTTCTGGAAACTAAACTTTTGGAATCTAATGCAATATTAATCAACATTAGAGTTTAATGGAATTAAAGTGATTGCAGCATAGTATATCTTCAATCACTTTCAGTGTTTTAGGGATTTTCTACCAGTTAAAGAATATTTTTAACAAATTTCCTGTGCATATTCTAGTTGAATTTTCTAATTTTTTCAGCTTACAAGTTTAATTTTATTCTTCTATGACAGGTGGTTAAGATTTCCTTCTATAATTCCCTCGTACCTGCTTTACTGAAATGTGACTAGTATTCGTTGTTTCCTTTTTGTTATTATAAGTTAAGAGTATCAAAAATCTGACCATTCTCAACTTTCCTGGAAGCTCTGATCATATTTCCTCAAATTTGCAATCATAGTCATGTGTCACTTAACAACGGGAATACATTCTGAGAAATTTGTCATCATGCGATTTTGTCATTCTGTAAACATCACAGAGTACACTTAAACAAACCTAGATAGTGTAGTCTACTACACACCTAGGCCAGCTGGTCTAGCCTGTTGCTCCTAGGCTACAAACCTGTACAGCATGTTACTGCACTGTATACTGTAGCAGTTATACCATAATGGTATTTGTGTATCTAAACAAAGAAAAAGTTCATTCTTCAGAACATAAATGTCAAATTTTTAATTACTCATTCCCTGCTATTGAATTTTTTATGAAGACAATTCTAGTCTTGAGACTTTTGGTTTTGTTCCTGTTATCAATCTCAATTCCAATATCACATATTCTAGTTGAATTTCTTTTTTTCAGCTTACAAGTTTAATTTTACTCCCCTATGACAGGTGGTAAAGATTTTCTTCTATAATTTTCATGGTCCTCGTTTAACTTTAATTTTATTCACAAATCCAATACCATCTTTGGTAATCAGCCTCCACTCAGATTTAATCTTCTCCTACACACCGATCCTTCTCCAGACAGTTGTGTCCCTATTAGAGCACAAAGTATTCTAGGAAATTAAAGGCAATGGGGACAGGTGCAGTGGCTAACGCCTGTAATCCCAGGCCGTGGGAGGCCGAGGATCACCTGAGGTCAGGAGTTCGAGACCAGCCTGACCAACATGGTGAAACCCCATCTCTACTAAAAACACAAAAATTAGCCAGGTATGGTGGCAGGTGCCTGTAATCCCAGCTGAGGCAGGAGAATCACTCAAACCCAGGAGGTTGCAATAAGCCCAGATCATGCCATTGAGGCAGAGGTTGCAGTAAGCCGAGATCATGCCATTGCACTCCAGCCTGGGGCACAAGAGCAAGACTTAGTATCAAAAAAAAAAAAAAAAAAAAAGGAATGTGTGATAAGTTTATTTAAAGACTCCTGGATGAGGAAGACAGCTTAAATTCTGTGAAAAACCTTCAGATAACCATAAGCTAAGGACATCTTTAACATAATTGTGAAATATCAGTAAATAATATGTATTATGCTTGCAGCTTAATTTTAAAATAATGGGTCACAGGTTTAGCATTATATCCATGACACACCATGAAGACTGAATTCATGAAGATTGTATTTATATAGAAACAAAATCTCCAGTGTGTCCATCTCTTCTGAATCAACCACAAGTGCTATATCATAACTAAAGTACACTTATCCAACAACAATAAACTTTAAAAAATAAAGACATTCCAAAGAATTACTCAACTAAAAGAAGGAGTATAATTTAAATACTTACAATTTCTTTAAGATAGCTAGGAATTCTTCAAAGTTCTCTGTGGCTCTTTTTGGTCTATATAAATTATGGCCACCATGTGCTCTCTCAACATAGACAGCTACATTGTGAGAATCATCAGGTTGTTGATGTTGACTTTCCTCTTTGCCTTCACTGAGTTCCCTGAACAAGAAAATAGAGTATTTTATGCTGTTGTATACTGCACAAAAATTATTTACAGGGACTTTTAACTATATTACCAGGAGTATAAATGCACTGTTTTGAGAAAATTTGTCAATTTAAGAACATATTCTTTTTAAAAGCATTAGAATGTTTCAATCATGATAGCACAGTTATATATGTCATTCTGTTAAATGTAGAACTTAGAATATATGAAATATTTTCAATGTATAGAATTTGATTACATGTATTATAACTGTCCTGAGCAAATGAAACACCTTTAATAATATATTAGGCTTACGTAATTTAGGAAAATATTTCAAGCCAATGGCTAACATCCTTTATACTCACACACTTGTTTTTCAGTGTTGTTTTAGCACCAAGGATAAAATTTTATTATTTAACTTCTATTTACCCCTGGTAATCTATAAACATCTTGGAAGATAGCCACCATATCTTATTCTTGTGCTACGGTATGTTCTATACCTAAGTCCCTAAGAGATGTACAAATAAATGACTATTTCCCATTCATATTTCTAGGATCAAGCATTTCTATTAAAAGGCCATTGAAAACTTATAGGCAAGAAATCCAACCAGTGCTGCCTATCTTTAAGAAAAAAAATAGTAAGTTAGGTTGCAGAAATGAATCTGGATTACATCTTGATAACAGACCTTTAATTATATACATAGGAAGATTAAAAATTAAATATAAGATATTATGTGGAATCATAACAGCAATAGTAAATTATCACATTAACATACAACTTGTTGCATTCTTAAATGTGCTGGCTACTCTGCTAAACATTATGCGCACATCATCTCATTAACACTAACCATGTGATACCGTTTGGCTGTGTCCCCACCCAAATCTCATCTTGAATTGTAGCTCCCATAATTCCCATGTCTCACTAGAGGGACCCAGTGGGAGATAATGGAATCATCGGGGCAGATCTTTCCCGGGCTGTTCTTATGATAGCGAGTAAGTCTCACAAGATCTGATGGTTTTATAAAGGAGAGTTCTCCTACACAAGCTCTCTATCTGCCTGCTCCCACGTAAGACATGACTTTGCTCCTCATTTGCCTTCCGACATGATTGTGAGGTCTCCCTAGTCAAGTGGAACTGTGAGTCTATTAAACCTCTTTCCTTGATAAATTACCCAGTGTTGGGTATCTCTTTATTAGCCGTGTGAGAACAGATGAATACAGAAAATTGGTACCAGTAAAGTGTGGAAGTTACTTTGGAACTGGGCAACAGGCAGAGATTGCAACAGTTTGGAAGGCTCAGAAGAAGACAGGAAGATGTGGGAAATTTTGTAACTTCCGATAGACTTGATGAATGGCTTTGACCAAAATGCTGATAGAGATGTCAGCAAAAAAGTCCAGGCTGAGTTGGTCTCAGATGGAGATGAACTTGTTGGAAACTTAAATAAAGGTGACTCTTGCTATGTTTTAGCAGAGACTGGCAGCCTTTTGCACCTGCCCTAGTGATCTGTGGCACTTTGAACTTGAGGGAGATGATTTAGAGTATCTAGCAGAAGAAATTTCCAAGCTGCAAAGTGTTCAAGAGGTGACTTGGGTGCTATAAAATGCATTCAGCTTTATGTATTCAGAAAGATATGGTTTGGAATTGGAACTTATGTTTAAAAGGGAAGCAGAGCATAAAAGTTCAGAAAATTTGCAGCCTGACAATGGAGTAGAAAAGAAAAACCTATTTTCTGAGGAGAAATTCAAGCTGGTTGCAGAAATTTGCATAAGTAACAAGGAGCCAAATGGTAATCTCCAAGACAATGGGGAAAATGTCTCCAGACCATGTCAGAGACCTTCATGGCAGCCCCTACCATCACAAGCCACATGGCCTAGGAGGAAAAAATGGTTTCATGGGTCTCACCCAGAGCCTTGCTGCTTTGTACAGTCTCAGGACTCAGTGCCCCATGTCCCAGCCATGGCTAAAAGGGGCCAACATAGAGGTCAGGCCATTGCTTCAGAGAGTACAAGTCTACACATGGTGTTGAGCCTGCAGGTGCACAGAAGTCAAAAATTGAGGTTTGGGAACCTCTGCCTAGATTTCAGAGTCTCATAGGCAGATGAGACCTGCCTTGGCTCAGATAACACTTTGGACTGTGGACTTTTGAGTTAATGCTGAAATGAGTTAAGACTTTAGGGGACTGTTGGGAAGACACAATTAGTTTTGAAATGTGAGGACATGAGATTTTGGAGGGGCCAGGGTCAGAATGATATGGTTTAGCTGTGTCCCCCACCCAAATCCCATCTTGAATTGTAGCTCCTTAATTCCCACATGTTGTGGGAGGGACCCAGTGGGAGGTAATTGAATCATGGGGGTAGGTCTTTCCCATGCTGTTCTCACAATAGTAAGTCTCATGAGATCTGATGGTTTTATAAAGGAGAGTTTCCCTACACAAGCTCTCTCTTTGCCTGCTGCCATGTAAGATGTGACTTTGCCCCTCCTCCACCTTCTACCATAACTGTGAGGCCTACCCCAGCCATGTGGAACTGTTAGTCAACTAAACCTCTTTCCTTTATAAATTACTCAGTCTCAGGTATGTCTTTATTAGCAGTGTGAGAACAGATGAATACACAATATACCATGTGAGTAGGCAATATTAGCCTCAGTTTATAAAATAAGGAAACTGTAACTAAAAGAGTTTATATAAATTTTCTAAACTCTCACAGCTAGTAGAGTTGGAAAGACTTTTTTCATCCTTCTGCTTTTCACAATTACCTGTACCTTTGAATTTTTAATAAAGCTTGATACGGGGTAAAATCGGATTCTTAGAAGTCTAATTTGGTAACCTACTGCTTTATATTATTCTCAATCCCTATAGTCTTTTTTTTTTTTTTTTTTTCTGAGACAGAGTCTTGCCCTGTTGCCCAGGCTGGAGTGTGGTGGTGCAATCTCGGCTCACTGCAAGCTCCTCTTCCTGGGTTCACATCATTCTCCTGCCTCATCCTCCTGAGTAGCTGGGACTACAGGAGCCCACCACCACAACTGGTTAATGTTTTTGTATTTTTATGTAGAGACAGGGACTCATGGTGTTAGCCAGGATGGTTTCGTTCTCCTGACCTCATGATCCACCTGCCTCTGCCTCCCGAAGTGCTTCGATTATAGGTGTGAGCCACCGCGCTTGGCCTCAATCCCTACATATTTTTTTTCCAAACAAATTCTACATGTTCCATAAGATTTTTACAAAATACATAACATTTGTATTATCATACTACTTGTATATGTGTGATAATATTTCTGTATCTAATGTAATTAGGAGTTTTTAATTTTATAATTTGAATGATCACTGTGGCTGTAGAGTAAAACTGGTTTTCCCCTTTTTCTTTAGTAGTCAGCTACATTACTTAGCTCACCCTTTTCAGTTGGTTATCTTACGGATTTTTCAGGTAGTAATAAAAAGAGGCACAGATAAAACAAAATAGAAAGAAATATATTGCTTTAAATGCACTTTCTTTTTTTTTTTTTTTTTTTTTTTTTTTTGAGAAGGGATCTTTGTTACCCAGGTTGGAGTACAATGGCATGATCTTGGCTTACTGCAACCTCTGCCTCCCAGCTCACGTGATCCTCCCACCTCAGCCTCTCAAGTAGCTGGTACTACAGGTACAAACCAATGCCCAGCTACTTTTTTTTTTAAGAGATAGTTTTTGCCATGTTGGCCAGGCTAGTCTCAAACTCCTGAGCTCAAAGTGATGCACTCCTGCCTCAACCTCCCAAAGTGCTACGATTATAGGCATGAGTCACTACGCTCAGACCCCGAATGCATGTTTTTTAAAAAAGAAAAACTGACAATTCATGAGCTAAGGTTTGATCTCAAAAAATGAGAAAAAGAAAGAGCAAGTTATACTCAAAATAAGAATAAGGAAATATATAATAAAGGAGAAAAACTGTTAACCAAAACTTAGTTATTTAGAAATCTAATAAACTTGCAAAAATAACGTCTAATAAACTTGGCAAAAAATTTTTTGAGAACAAAAACAGAAAAGGCAGACATAAATTATGTCAGAAATGGAAAAGGAGACTTCATCACAGATCCCACAGATAGAAAAAGTCAGAAAGATGATATTATGAAAACTTCATGCCAATCAATTTGAAAATTTAGATGAACAAATACTTATAAAAGTACAAATTACCAAACTGACACAAGTAGAAATATAAAATTTTAATTGTTCAAATATTTTAAAGAATACAACTAAGAACCTTCCTACAAAGAAAACTGGCCAAAATGGTCCTATCAGTGAAATCTAACAAACTTTTAATAAATAAACCCAATGCTTCCAGAAAAATACAAAAGTCATATGTAGTTTCCAGCAAGTTTTATGAGGCTGGCCTAGCCTTGATATCAATAGCAGCCAAGGAAATTACCATAAAGGAAGATTACAAGCCAGTGTCACTGATTATAGATGCAAAATTTCTAAACAAAATATTAACACTAAATCCAGGGATAATTTTAAAAGATAACAAAGCCTAGGCTACTTGGGAATATATCAGGAATACTATTCCAGGGGTGTTATTTAACCCATTAACAAAATACAGGAGGAAAAAATAATGTGTATCTAAAAAAAACACCTCATATGGTTCAATATCTTTTGTAACACAAACTATTAGCAGACTAGAAATAGAAATGAAACAATATGCAAAATTATTTATTTACACAAAATACAGCAAATATTATACTGAAGGTGAAATTTTGAAAACTTTGCCCCTGGAATCAGAAATGCCATGGATACTGCTCTAATCAATTCAACATTCTAGTGAAAAGGTCCTAAGCATTAAAATTAAAATAACTACAAAATGTAAGAATTGGAAAGGACAGGCAAAGCTGTTATTTTTTGCAGATGACATGATCTTATACATGGAATATGCAAAAGAATATACAGATATTATAACTGACAATAAAATTGGGATGAAAGTTCAATATACAAAAATCAGCCATCCTTACATAGGAATGCACGAAGGCACTGATAGAAGAATCAGTTCCATA